GTCTGAAAGGGTGCAAACATTTGACAAGATCCCTCATTCTGTATAGAGTCACATGTTCGCCATAATACCTGATGGAAGACATTACTTCCCACTGTAGACACCAATCACTGATATTTAGTAAGGGAATCAGACTAGAATTGTCTGGCATAACAGGCAAGTGACACTCGTTCAAATCTTATTTGAATACAGGAGATGCCGGCCACATAACTTTATTATGGAAGCTTATCCTAATATTAATTATGGACTCCTTTGATCTTTTCAGTGTTCTTTGTTGTAGAGAATAAAGAGATTTGAGATTGGCATTGTTAGATTTTATTTATAGGTTAATTTAGAATACATATGTTATTGTGTAGATTTCTTTTATACATTTTGTGTATACATGTTAATTTGAGTAAGGTGTTAGAATCATAACATATGAAAAGTCATAAAGGTAATTAGAAAGTGGACTGAATTTTTGTACAAGTTTAAGATTTATCAGAAACTGAATTGATTGCATCCAGCAAAAACCATTTCGGAGATGGTAAACTGGCTACAGGACCTAATAGTGTGTGTGTGAGTGTGTATACGCGCACCATTATATTAACTATCTGTATGTAAAGATGAAGACAATGGACTTAAAAATAATGAATAATGAAAATACTTCATCACAGAACTATCTATAGAAATGTATAGGTAAAACATCCTACACTAAAAGTAAATTAAGTTTGTTGAATTGGCATTTACAGAACTATGGATTTTGCCAGAGCTCGTGATAATCTCATATTTTCTATTCTGAATTTTTCTTACTCCATGAATAGACAGGAAATTATTTTTTTTTTCTTCTTATTGACTATAAGCAAAAAGTAAGATTGGTCTCTTCATCCATGTGCCTGCCCAAGAGAATAGTGTAAAAGGTGGGGGATCTTGTGAGGTAAGCAAAAGTTACAAGTGCCCATAAGATATTCAAGCACTTGTCTGTCTACCTACTTGCTTAGTTTCTTCACATATAGAATTGCCTAACAGGTATTAATTTTCAAAGTCAAAACTGGCTTTCTTTCATAGCAACTAAACTTGTGAATATTCTCAAGAGGCTTGCATAAATAAATAAATAATTATTGGAGGGGGGGGATATGGAAGAAAAAAATGTCAGCATCAAAAAGACGCTTTATACCTTTACAGAGGAGTAAATGAAAAGGTATTACTCGTAAAAGATAGTACAAAGCATATTCAGCTTAGAGGCAAAACAAAAGGTCAAATCTGCTATCTAAAGATAGATATTCAATAACTATTGCTAATCTTAGAAGTAGCTAAGAAGTTGAAAAGTTTTGCCATTATATAAAGTAAAATACTTGTCAAATGTAATGTTGCTACAATTTGGTGTTCATGATTATAATAATATGAAGAGACCTTAAGAAAGAGGTTTAACAAGATCCAGAAATTGAATAAAATTATCTTTCAGACTTTTATAATCTTTACATATTAAACAAAGTAATTCTGAATTCAGGCACATAACATGAAGTGCACAGTTCTTGCAGTCCCCCACCTCCCAAGAGACTGGATCTCTCTTCAAAATATCAGTTTACAGCCAAATCATCATTACTCTAAGATAATTTTTATGGAACACAAAATACATTAATTTTAATAAAAAATGAAATTTTCAACATTTTAATGATATTGAAAATGAATAGTGCGCATATATATATATCTTAAAACTATGCTATTAATATCTATTTTCAATATAATTAAGATGGAAAATAAATTATCTATGGACTAAGAAAAATTATGTGCATTTACAAAAAATGGTTATAGTGAGTATTAAATGGATTCCTTAAGAAAAAAAAAAGTTTAACATTTTAAAATACAAATTTTATTATTTTGTATAGATTATATAAAATTTATGACAAGTTTTCAGTATAATTTTTCTCATTGTTCAAGTATTAAAGCATATTTTAAAGCAAATTATTATAATTAATTGTTAAAATAAAGATGTAGGGATATAAAAAAAAATCCTGAAAAATATGCTTAAAAGCTGGATAATCTGTTACTATGATGCATTTAACAACAGTTATCTCCCTTTTAATCCCTCCAACAACAGATCCCCAGAGGAAAAGCAGACGAGATTATTTCTAATGAAATTCAAAGAAACTAATAAATTTCTTTAAAAATTCCAAAGAATTTTTAGCAATTAATATAACTTAGATTAAAAAAAAAATTACACGTGTTTCTCTGCATGATAATTATAGAACACTAAAAGCAACAGAACACACTTGCCAATGGACATTTACTATAAGAGTTTGTAAATGATATTCTTATTACCGGTTTTGATATTTTATATAAAAAAATGTTCAGATTCAGAACATGAATTTGTGTTAATCTTTTTGGTGTTAGGTTTTAAGAGGATAGATTATAACAAGTGTTAAGACAAGTATAGAATAGCCTTAGCTTTTATCAAATCAATTGACATTCTTTGTAGGAGGAAACAGCAACTCAGCATTATTTTTACTATTTTTGAGATTTATAGATAAATGTTCACTAAAACCAAACAAGATATTTCATCTGAAATAAGCTTAATATTGCTTCTGTATACATAAAGAGGCAGAAATTATTATTCAATAGTTTTGAGTTAAAGCAAGCAATAATCAAGACCTATGCATGTTATAAAGTTTTTGTTAAAAACAAATACAAGGGAATTAACCAACTTTTTTTATGATTTTATTTATGAATGAAAAATGAAGATTAACTCCCAATGTCAATTTGATGAATAAAAACCTGGACTAGAACAAAAAAGAAAGAAAAAAAAGAAAAGAAAAAGAATAAAGAAAAAGAATAAAGAAAAAGAATAAAGAAAAAGAATAAAGAAAAAGGAAAGAAAAGAAAGAAAAATGTAATACCTGCCAAATAGCAAGAAAGTCATCAGTCATCAAAACTTGTACAAATATTAACTTGTGTATAGTTTATAAAGAGAGGGAGGGAGGGTCTTATAATAAATGTCCTAATTCCCAATGTTATCTGAACAGAATTCTTAATTAGGCTTCTTTTTTTTTTTTTTTTTAAGAGCCACTACCTATTATTTGAAATGGATTGGTTTCAATATTTATACAAATTTAAATAGGAAATGGATAATTTACATTATTTACACTGTTCACTGTTCTTTATTGCCACATTCACAAATGTTTCAGCAATTGTATGCTCCAGCCTTCTTCAGGTGATTGGAATTTTAAACGGAACCCTTTATTTCATCCATAGGGGTGGATTGTTCTAGTTTCACGTGCCATGCCTCTTCTGGCTATCTCTCTTTAACTCAACTCTCCAAGTTCACCACCGCAATAGCTGGGTATTGAACTCTAGGTAAAGTCATTGGATCCAACCAACACTTTAATCCACTAGGCCATATGCCCTTGAGGACATCAGTGTATGAATTTTTGGGACTTATAAACTTAATGGCTCAGTAATCATTCTGGAAGAGGCATGGCATGTGGAACTAGAACAACCTACTCCAGTGGACAAAATAAAGGGTTCAGTTATAAATTCCAATCACCTGAAGAAGGCTGGAGCTTACAATGGCCAAAACGTCATGAATATAGCAATAAAGATGAGGACAACAATTCAAATAATGTAAATAATTACAATACCTCATCTCAGAAATATAGACAGGAAATGGATACTTAAATCAGCTCCCAGACATAATAAATTTAATTCAATCATACAACAAAACAATAAGCAACAGATCTTATGAAAATGACTTGAAATAGGGGGGGGGTAATGTTTATTTCATCTTAACTTTAGTTCTTATTTCAACTTCTTAGGCTTTTATTCTATGGCAATCAGGAAGGCAGATTAGATCTGAAGAATCATGGTCTTATTCAGCAATGTAGCTATTATACTAAGTAGAAGAAAAGGAAAAAAGATGTCAACATTTGTGCTAGTAAATTTAAGTTGCAATAAGAAGCAATTGAAATAAAAGTGAAATACTAGTCAACAAAATAATAATTAAGTATGCTTCATCTAATAAAATATACACTTATACATTGCAAACTGATAAGTTTTTGTTAAATGGTCAAGACAGAGACCAAAGTGCAATCAACAAAAATTGAGATATATATAGATATATATATATATATATATATATATATATATATATATATATATATATATAAATCAATTGTTTGAGAGTAAAAAAGTTTACATATAACATATTTGCATTAAAAAATATAGCAATGTCTTAAGAGTTAGAGATAGTTTCCTAATGTTTCTAGAGTCATTAAATTTACAAAATAGTGATAAGAGGATCCAAATCCCTTGCCATTTGTCAATATTTAAATTGGCTGTTAAATTAAAAATGTTTATAACTAGTTATATACTGACATATACATTTATTTAATTCATTTTGAACAGGATTTTTTCAGCACAAACAAATGAAAGCAGGCTCTAGCATTGACCTTTTTTTTTTTCTTTTTTTTTTACTTAAATTTAGAATTAGATTAAAAAAAAGTTTAGTAATACTACCAAATGTTTATTTTTTTTATTAGGTGTTATATGAGGGAGTGTTGAAAAGTTCAGCCTGACAAAGAAGAAATGAAAAGTCTACTGTTTAGTTAGATTTTGGGAGGCAAGATTTTTTTAATTAGGTTAAGTAGAATTTGTTAAAAATGTTAACCATAATGTGAATTTTTAAAAAAATTTGTTTTATTCACCGTTATATCATTTGGCCATATTAAAATCTATTTCAGTATATTCAAAAATTTTCCAACAGTTACTCAAAAATAAATTGACAAATATTTTAGCTTATGACATTTACAAAAAGTAAACATTTTCAAAATCATGTTCTGTACAAAGACTTCATGAATTTCCATTTGTTAAAGTAGAAAATTAGTTTCCTTTTAATAATAATTCCTCACTAAAATATTTTTTGTCAAATAGGAAGACATACGAAAAAAATTAATGAATCATATGTATACTGCAAGAAAAGTGGACTTTTGCACAAAAAAATCTATTTGAAATTTTCATAAAAGGCACCATACCTGTAAATGGGGCCATGATGCCTCTAGTGTTGGGTCATCTTCTTCTGGATCAAAGTCAGGGTTATCATTTGGTGGTAGGGTTCGAAATATATTACATGCAATCTGAAACAAGTAACAAAAGAATTGTTAAAAAACAAATATACAAGCATACCAAATTATCCCCAAAATATATTCAAATCATTAAGCTTTTAAACTAATCTAAACAAATGTAACATTGAATAAAAATATTCATATATGTAAGCCACTCAAATGAAGATAAAACATTAAAGGGTAATTTATAAGTTTGATCAAGAAAAGAAAAAAAAAAAATCGAAACAGTAAATCACAATCACATTTCCTTTGGTCATTTGAACAAAACAGAATTACTAAGATTTAGAAAAAAAAAAGCTGTTACTTAAATGTTTTAGTTAAGGATTAGATGGAGAAAGTGTTAAAAAAAAAAAAAAAAAATTTAACAAACAAATTATCTAAAAAGGAGGAAAAAATCCAACTATAAAATAAAAGACTAGTGCAATTGAATAGTGACAATCCTAATCTTGTTTTTGAATATTACACACACACAAAGTGTCAATATCCAATTTTGTCCTCTACGAGGAAAAACTTGGCCACAAAGTTCCTGCAACTTAATTCAGAGATATAGAAAATTTGATTTTTTTAAAACTAAGAATTAAACTTGTGAACAAGATTATTTTATTTGACAGGTCAACTAAAACATTGCAAGTAATAAAAATCATAGAAATATAGATCAAGGATATTGATAAGGATTCATTTTGTTAATCCTTATTTAGCTAAATGAACAAACAATGTAAAAGTACATTACATAGGATTAATAATATTAAAGATTAAAATATAAGTTTCATTTTTTCATAATGTTGCTCTATAATCTCACACATGCAGTTATATAATCACATTAATCACGTAACGTAAGAAAAATACGAGTTTCCAAGATAGTTAATTGTTGGAAAAAGAATTTTAAATATAGAAATGTATATTAGTGAAACAGAATCAACTTGAAAATGTAGTGTTATTTATATTAAAAACTAAAAGAAAAAAAATGTAAGTACATTGTCTTATTTTTATACTGTGCTGAATCCTTTAAACCTTTAATTGTTTTTTCAAAAGAGATGAAAAACCTAAAAAATTGTTAAATATTTAAAAGAAAAATTATTTAAAAAAATAAAGACTCAACAATCAGAATGGAGAGAAAATGGCTTTGATAAGTTTAGTTTATGGAGAATATTTGAATTAAAGGTAATTGAAAAGATTCTTCATAGTCAATAACAAATGCGTCAAGATTTGTTTAAACAAAAAATAGAAAAGAAAACTAATGAAACTCAGTATTCAATGCAATTTTACATAAATCTTTCTACTTAATATTTTCAAAAAGAAAAATAATTTAAGCTTAATAAAAAAAAAAAAAAAAAAAAAAAACTGCTAAAATGCTATTTAAATAAAAAATACACCTATTAATGTCTAGAAAAAGAACCTAATGGCTGATTTAAAATGCCAAAGAATATAATTTTTTCCTCTTTTGTGATAATTAGAAGTTTGAATGAAACAAAATTTTAACATCTTTTTTCATAAATCCTACTACAGCTGAAATTCTTGGACACTTCTATTTTGGGATCAGAAATAATTGCTATAAAAATGTGTGATATTCCCTGTTCTCATGAAGGATGCATACTTGAGCCTAGGACAAAGTCAAACTATTTTATTATAACTTAAAAGATTCAATTTCTCTCCCTTGATACACAAGGATAATGACATATTAGCAAAATGAGAAACATTTGAAAAATTTCTATCATTTATGGCTTTGCCTTTTGTTTTAACTTCATAGCCAAAATTAAACATAATAGATTTTTTTAAAAAAAGTTCTTTATATTTTACTTCTTTCAGCTCAATTATTTACAAAGATTTATATAGTCTAAACTAATTGTCCAAAAAATATAATGGCACTTTCAACTAACACACACGATTGTATCCCAAATTAGGTAGGCCTGCACTGGTTAAAAAGAAATTATTTCAGAGTTACACAATACAGAATTTCAATATATTATTTTAAATAAAAATTCAGCCAAAATTTTGCTGAAAAACAGTTTAGAAAATTAAGAGTAAACTATATAAATTTTGAATTAAGGAACAGCTTTGTAAAGTTTACTTTAATTTTTATTAAAATTAAAACAATAAGAGAAAAATTTTGGTAACTTTTTTATCTTGTGTAAAATAAGAAATATTAAAATTGTTTCTCAAGTTAAAATAAAAACCACTGTAATTGCAATCATAAGAATGTATTTAACACTTATCAGTTCAAAACAGCTTCAAAGCAAATTGAATGAAAAACGATTTTCCATTTTTTTAAAAAAGGGGCATAGACAAGTTTTCTAATACTGCTTAATGAATTATCCAGAAATTATACATTATAAAAGGTGATTCACTGTTCATCATACAGTGTATGCCTTTATATACACATATGTAATATATGAATATGTGCATTGTGTATGAATGACTTCCATATGCTTGTGGCATTTAATGTATACACAAGTACATGCATATACTCACTCAATTTGACTAAGCTAGAAATAAGATATTCCTTACATTCAGTATGGACAACCTCTACTCTGGGCTGAGCAATAAAAAAATAAAAAAAATAATTACAGGATTATAAATTCTATAATAAATCAATATTTTAATCAATATTTTTAAAAAATTTTGTAGAAATACTTTAAGACTCATTATATTAGAAAAAATACAGGCATGTGCACATGCGCACACTCACACACACAAATTGAGTGAAAATGGCTCCTTGAATTCCTAAAAAATGAATCCTGTATTTAAATTGAATTTTTTTCTTAATAAAATGTAGTATTTTAAATAGATGCAATTTTAATTTGACCACCTAGACACTAGCAAAGCAACCAGTCTTGAAAAATAGAAAAATCTTAAAATTTCACAAAAAAGAAAAGAAAATACCAGTGAGATTGTATTCAATGAGGCCAAACTTCTACCACACCCATTTATATAGGGTTCCCCCTCGCATAGAAAGCATAAAATAATTAAAACTAGTGTATGAAAACTTCATGAAAGCTTCATGAAAACTTTGCTCAAAATGCTTCCTGAAGCTTGTAAAACATTGTTACAGTCAAAATGCAGCAGAAAAAGGGTTTCTACAATTTCTCAGTTTAAGTTATACAATGACTATTCCTTGTATTATTAATTAGTTTCTACAATCCTTTATATGGAACAAGGGTATCATTTGAAAATAAGTTAAATATTTTGTACAAGATTTGAAAAAGAAAAAAAAAAAAAAAAAAAAATCAAAAAAATCAACAAGAAATAAGATGATCAATAATAAATAATGAAGTGGAATAGATTTAAAAGGTCCCAAACTTAATAAAAAAGTTTTATCATCAAAATGTTTGTTATTATGAAGAGGAAAGACAAAAGTATTTTTTATTTTTTTATTCAATTTTTTCAATCATTTATAGCGCGATCAAAATTATGATTAAAAATCTTGTTCTTTTTTTTCTTTTCATGTCAATGGTCTAGGTAATATTTATGATTAGTGTCTTAGTGCTTTTTTTTTTCAGGTGAAAAACACATTGATTTAGAAATTCCTGCAAAAAAAAAAAAAAATCAAACAATTGCCTGATTCTAAGACACTTTCAGGACTTATTCACAAATAAATGAAATTATTTGAAGTTCTTTTTCTTCATTTTTTTTTTTTAGAAAATCTCGGTAAAAAGATTTTCTTTCTACATGTTACCTTCACCACTTAATTTCATGAAATTTTGAGAAATTAAATTTTAATCACCAATTTTTTTTATTAGTTAAAAACAACACTCCTAGGAGAACGTAAATTTTTTTTTTTTTGAATCGTAAAATTAAAAAAATGTAATAAAACTATGACATTAATTAGAAAAGCTTTTAATTGCTTTTATAAATAAGATTTATTAAGAACACTACTGACTTAAATTTTTTTTTAAATGAATAATGAATTTTTACAAGAATCGTTTTCATTTCTTTTTTTAAATTTTAATTATAATAATTTATAAATAATAATTTATAAATTTTTAAATAGTTTAAAATTCTGCATCCTTTAATCCAATTATGTGATATTGTTAAGTGAAAACTATATTTACTAATGAAAAATTGAAAACCTTAATACAAAGTATTTTGCTCCAAGAGTTTTTAAACAATTTTTAATTTTTTTTATGTATATAAATATTACTTACCATGCCCCTGTTTGAAAGTATGGTTGATCATATGCAACATTATCAGAAAATAAGAGCAATGACTATAGAAAATTTAAAGTTAACATTTCTTAAATTAGATTACAGGGAATATTTCCAAACATTTTTTAAGATTACTGAGTACTTAAAAATTATATAAAAAAAAGGTACACACCAGTCATTTTCTTAAATTATGTTTTAACAGATAAAGTCTCTATAGAACAACATAAATCTGTCAACACCTTCCAACAGTAAATCATTGATACTGTGTTTTAAAAATCCATTTCTGTTATTTTCTACTTAAAACAAATAATATTTGTTTCAAAATCAGATTAATTATACTTTAAATCAGCTAACATTCCTCAAATAGTTTCAGAAAATTATATTTTATTTTTGGAAGATTTTTAAAACTGAGAATTAACTTTTGTTTACAAATGTGTCAAAAATGGCAGATTTTAAATGATTTTCTGAAAGCAATTAAAAAGTTGAGATTCCAAGCAATATAATTTCTATTTGAAATACAACAGATTATTTTTGCTAACTGGAAATAATGAATTTAATCATTTACCTTTCAGTTAATGCTAAAAAGAAAGCATCAAGAATGCCTTTCCATTTTTAAAAATTCATTTTAAACCTTAGGCATTGAAAAATTAGTGGAGGTACTTATGCTAATATTTAGTAGCAGTGAGTAGGCCCAAGTAGCATAAGTAGGATTGACCATTAAAATTGACAATCAGTTCTTCAGCTGCATTGGTGCAGATCTGAAAAGAATTAAAAATCTTGCAAAATTTAATAAATGAAGAGTATAAAATCCAGGCAGAAAGCACAGATTTAGATATCTTTAAAAACCTCATTTTTTTTCTCTTCCTAGCTTAGCTAAAACAAATTTAAGGATAGTAAATGGAATTTATTAAAATACAGTAGAGGTCATATAAATTTTCTTTAAGATCCTGTATATGTATCACACTAATTCTATGCATTTAGCTTTAAAAACCTAATATTTTATTGATATATAACTGAATATCAAATTACAATAAAAGTGTTTACAGGTTAAATTTTTTTTTTTTATGTTGGTACTATTAGCTTAAATTAGCTAAATTCCTGTTTGGTTACATTGGTGGGTGGGAGGTTGATTAAAAAAAATTCAATGTAAAAACCTTTCAATTGAAATATAGTTCACTTTTCTATCAATACATAAAAGAAAAATTAACTGACTTAAATAAAAATTAGTATTATCCTCTAACAGAAATTCTGTCAAAAGTTTCTAAATATTCATATAGTGACTTTTGTTTAAATATCTTTGCTTCTGGGTATAAAAATTAACAGGTGTGTGTGTGTAAAATGTGTGCCTACTCATCAATATAGACAGGTTTTTAAAACATACCTATTTAATATTTAATAGTTGAGAGTTACACACCACAAATGCAACTATCATGTTAATTTGGCCAGACTGTTTTCATACTTGGTAATCTTGGAATTTTAAAGGAAAGCTTATTCAATCCATGGGGGTAAATTATTCTCATTCCACTTTTCATGCTGATATGAAACTTTGTATCAGTTAATATTCAGTCTTATTCACTTCTGTGTTGCTTGGTGGATTAAAGCATTGGTTTAAGAATTTGGTGACACAGTAATTTGAGTTCAATCCCTGGGCCAGGCCAAGTGTAATTTGATTCAGTGGAAATGAGGCAAGCAGTAGTACTGAAGAGTACTAAAATAAAGTAGATGAGATATCCCTAGTAGAGCAAGAACAATATACCCTCATAGAGTAAATAAATTGACATTCATATTAGGATACCTGGATCAACATATACCTGATTGAAGGCTGAAGGGTTCAATGGCTGAAATGTTGGGATAACAACAAAGGTGAGGTCAATAGTGTGCATGTAAATAATAACACATCACAGAAATGAATCCACATGTTTAAAAAAAAAGAAAAAAAAAAAAAAGAATGTACTCAAGCATTTGAATAATGTTCAATGTATCAAGTACCAACTGTTTAAACTTACCAAGGATGAAATTGATTCTGAAAGTTCTTCAAATACTTAAAACTATTTTTATCAACTTCTACAACTTATTTTTTATTAAAATATTTCACAAGTATAAAGTGTGTACTTGATTTATGATAATGCTGTCAAAGTAACTTCTGTACAGTCACAGCTATATATTCTTGACTGAATGGAACGATATTATAGAGCCATTGCTTAAAATCTACAGGCAATTCCATTATAAATTAAGCTATCGACTTCTTGAAGTTTCATTAATATCAGTTTTTTTTTTTTATTGCATATTAATCATGAACACATTGAAGTAGTGGTGGCATCTCCTGGGAAAGGTTGGTTTGAATCTTTCCTTCTCCTACACTAGTCACCAACCAAGGCTATAGGACCCAGTCTGCCTTGCTATTTATCCATAGCTGGGGGTGGGGAAGAGATGGATTCATACCTTTTCAAATGGTATTAACATGCAAGTCAATGTAATGAACTTGACTGAAATTTGAACTCAGCTGTCCAATTCCTAAATCTGAACCACTTATCCATTACTCCATCATGTTTCTAAGGAGGGGAAAAATAACTTTAACCAGAAGAAATATAAGATTTGATTTTAAATAAATTGAAGGGGTAGTTAGAAGAGGGGAAAGGCTATAACAGTGTCTATTAATATCAAGTACTAGTTACAGCAAAATTGTCCAAAAAGTCTATTGCTTTGTTGAGAGAGAAAAAGAGAGACCCATTTTTGTTAACATTTATTTATTTGGTAACCTAAAAGGTCACTTCTACTTTTGCTATTAAGAGAATTTAGTTTTAACTAACTTCATTCAAAATTAATTCTTTTGAATGTTTTATAAATATTGTCATATTAGCATGCATAAAAAAAAAAAAAAAAAAAAAAAAAAAAAAAAATTGGCATTTTTTGTTTATTGATCTCAATACAGAACATTAAAAAAATAAGTAACGTTATCAGCATATGTATTGGATTGATTGATTGATTGGTTTTCTATGGCGTATCAACCCATTGCATGTTATTTAAAACCAGAATATATTTTTAGATTGAAAGAAATGGCGGGGAGTGAGGGAGATAATAGTTTAGTGACAAGTTTTACTAATTTAACCATAGCCTGCGGGAAAGTAAAACAAACTACTTTTAAACAGGAAAAAAAAAAAAAAAAAAAAAATCCGTGGAACTCTTCAAAGAGTACAACAATTCTTCGCTGAGAATATTGAAAAATTTTGAGAGGAAATTATCTGAAAGATGACATAATGAAAAATAAGGATTCCAAACATCATTTACCAATGTTGAAAAGAGAGAAATAAAACTTCTTAGTTTTACTTAATAAATTAACCTCTTTGGGCCACCCAAGAGAAAGATATCTATAATGTGGAAATAAAATAGAGCTAACAAAACACTGCTCATAACAAAGGAATTCAATGATCTAAACAACTTAGAATTATTAAACTGTAATTGATCAAAATTAAAAAGAAATAGTCTTTAAAAATTGAGATCTATGATCTGTTAAGCGTAAAAAGTTATTGCACGTTTTGTTTTGAAAGATTTAAAAAAAAAAAAAAAAAAAAAAAAAAATGTTCCTTCCTTCAAATATGAGAAATATCTAACTGATTTTGTAAAAGATTTGAATATGTACTCATGTATGAAAAGATGTGATCAACCCAAACAAATAAAATTAATAGATCATTGCCTATATAATAGGCAATACCGTCTAAAATTAAAATGACACAGAACTCAATCACAACTACAAAGTAATATTGAAATGCTGGTGAATAAGTTGTTGAATATGCTGTCATAACAAAACCAATTAGTCATGAATTATCCAGGTCTATAAGTGTTTTCATCAATGCATTTATTGATATTAAAAGGATACTGAAATAATATCTCTAGTGGTTATACAAGAAAGAACACCATGTCAACCACCAACTATAAAAACACCATATCAACCATCAACTATAAAAGGTGCAAAGTTATTATACATAATGGTTTGTTCATTAGTCAATTAGTAAAATTTAAATTATAAAAAAAAAAAAATAATTCAATTATATATAAAACTGGATAAAATATTGGTCATAAATTTATTATATGGTATATGTTATCAAAATGATATTTCAATAAGTATTAAAAAAAAAAAAAAAAAAAAAAAAAAAAAAGTCAATCATAATTTAGCTATCACATGGCAGATCACAAATATTCCCAGATTTTACAGCATCAGTGAAGTGGATATGTGAAGCAGTTAACGTATTTTCACCATTCACATATCCCCACCCTCAACCCCTGTTTATAAGTGTCAGTACATAGTGGAGCTATTGTAGCAGATCATTTAACCTGCTATTCTCTATAGGCTCCTTACAACATGGACAATATTATGATGTAAACATTCTGGTAAAAAAAAAAAAAAATAATTAAGAGATCAAATGTGAGCAAGATCAATTTATTTTTCTTTGTTCATTTTAGATTTTCCTTGTCAAGGTTTATAGAAAAATTAGGCTTAGGCTTATGTTTTTGTTTGTTTTAACCTATTTGTATTAGGTTTTTCTTCCTTTAATTTAGGAAAAGTTGAGGAAACAGTTCCAATCTATTTTTTCCATCTGAAAGGAAGATATAAAGTTAAATAGTCATACTTAATGGAAATTGTTAATCAGGTTTTTAGTTAGTATCCACCCAAATGCTAACTTCCTTAATTTTTTTTTTAAAAGTTACAATGACTATGATAGTTCCTTAGATTAACCAATAAAAATTCTAACAAACATTGAGTTTAAAATATAAATATCCTTTAAAACTTATTACTTTCTTAGGGAAAGACATTTTAAATCAGGTGTGAAATAATTAAGCTAATTCTCCAGTGAGTGATGAGTAAATGTTAATGTTGATAATGCAATATACAAACAGACTGGATGACCTTTAACATCGTATTTGTCTACCAATAAAATATTGCTCAAGTGTGCTTTTATACATGCAAGGTTGAGGTCAGCAAGACATTGTGGTTTTAAGAGCAAGTCAGTTGAATGATAATATGGAGATTAATACTGTCACCTGGTAGGGGAGGGAGATAAGAGGGCCAGAAACTCATACAAAATAAAGAAAATAGTTTAATGATGACTATAATACATGAGTTTAGTACATTTTTTAAGTACAAATAATATTTATGTAATTTAAAATTTTTTTAAAGTTTCCTTCACTTGAAAAATCATTTTTATTTTTATTTTTTTAAAATGGTAATTGACAACATTTCTCAATTCAAGAATAATCCAAAGTTACAAAATATTTACAATACAAAAAAATTTAACTAAATTCTTAAAATACTCATTCATGTTACATCTTTCTAGTATATTCAAAAGTTCAAATGCAATGTCAATTGTTATCTTCTGTCTTAATTCCTGTTCTTTTATTGTTCTCTCTCCTTAATGTTTTTTTGCCTTATATTCTTTCACTCAGTAACCCTAGTAAGGAGTAGTTTTATTGCCTTGCTTGGGATGAAATGATAAAAAAAAAAACAAACAAAAAAAACAACATTCTAATTTATTTTTATAGTGTTCACATGGTATAATAGAAAGAGATAAGAATGAGAAATAAGCATCTGGCCTTGCTGAAAAGAGCAGTAAAATATATGCCATATAAGCCATGATTCTATAAAATAAATTTATTAATTATTACTCAATTGCTAGGGATGGAAAAGTAGGTGTAAAGCACATGATAGCTATTATCAAATAATAGTAATAAGTAACAAATATTATAATAAAAAAAATATGATGAGCATATAAAAATTATGGCATTTAACCTTTCACTGACCAAAACTGAAATAAAGTGTATATAATAAAAAGTGGTTTAGCACTATGACAGTGTATTAAAATTATGAAAGTGTTTTGTTACATGTATACTGAAAGAAAAAAAACCCCCCCCGGCAACACACACACAAACACTGAGCAAAGAACTTGATGAAAATAAAATTTAAGTGGATACCAGGAAACTGGTACCAGAATACTTAGTCAAAATAGGTGAAACACCATTTGGTACCCCACATTAGTGCTCAGGGGTTTAGTGAAATTTCAAAACCAAATTGACACCCTCTATCAATTTGATATCAAGCACTCTTTTCATAAAGATTGTCTCAATAATAATGAAATTATTGTGTGAGTGTACACATTGGCTATGAGTTCAGTACCTTACTTAGGTAAGGTACTGAACTCTCCTGAGTACTAGATTATTTGTATAAAGAATTGCTTTTAAGTACACCAGTTGCAAGATTCAACACAACAATACAAGCATAGTGGACAGGAGATACAATCAATTAAAAATATGAGTGATGTTTCATTAAAACAGCCCCAAAATATTTTAGCACATGTGTTTGAAAATACCAAATTTCTAGACAGGGTAGCACTATCAGGAAATGCTTTCAAAAATACTAATGGTATTCATGATATTTTGGATTTTGGTACCAGGCCCATCTTGATTAATGAATGATATGTGCATGCTTACTGACAATGAACTTAGTGTAATTCAATTGCTTCACAATGTGAAACCTTTTGTTGCAAGTTGAAGTTATTTGTGGTTATATCTGGTTTTGTCATTGCTCTATCAATTTGATATCAAGCACTCTTTTCATAAAGATTGTCTCAATAATAATGAAATTATTGTGTGAGTGTACACATGTCAAGTATATTTTTATGTTGTACCTTTTAACATCACCAATGCTAGGAGATAATTAGGCAGCAGTGTCTTTCTTATAACAATAGCGGACCGATCAAACATACTTATGACGTCAGGTGAAAAGACAGACATAGCTTAGTGAAAGGACAGAGTATAACAACTTTTTTTTGTTTTAAATATTACAGAAACACAGGTGAACTGAATTATATGCCAGTATTTATTTTTTTTCTAACAAATCTAAAAAGGTGTGGGTGCACACACGTGTGTAATAAGCAATTTAAAACTCCTAAGACAGGGAAGTAAGAAATGTCTTCAGAATTAAAACAAGTAAATCAAGCAAAAATAAAACTTTTTTATATATAAAATGGGTGAGAAAGTTAACAAAATTCAAACATTAAATTATTGTATTTTAAAAGAAAAGACTTTGTAGATACATACTGTATTTGATGACATAAGATGTCTCCACCCTCACAACTCTTGTTAGAATTTATAAAATTGAATGAAGGCCCCTAAATGGGGTATATGGGGGTTTAAGTTTGAATAATATTTGATGTAATGCTCAACATTTTTTTTTTCTTTTTTTTAAAGATACTTCCTGCTGAAATGGGGATAAGAGTCCTTAATATGCCAACATATGATACATTTATTTTTGTATTTTTTTTATTATAATTATGGAACATTCCAACATAGTGATCAAGACTGCACACCCACTATAATTGTTAATCAATTAGATTGTATTGGCTACATAGTAAAAATCAATTTCTTTATTAAAGAATTTTAGATTAAACAAATTCAACATTTTACATAAATTTCTTTACTAGCAGAAAGTCTTTTAAAATAGTTTAATATAGAACAAAATAAATCTATTACTATTGATTTAGTTTATATCTACTAAGTAGTTTTCATTTGGCTTTGATAGTGCAAATTTTATTAACTCATTCGTATTGGTTGGAACATATAACTTCTATTGAAGTTAGAGGAATATTGAGATTAATAAGCTCTCAGGAGCTGATATTTTGGAAGAAAAGCAAAATTTTTGAAATCATCAATAACTTTATAATGTAACAATGATCAAAATATTTTTAGCATTTGTTTTTGTGCAAAAAATTATAAAGATTGAAAGAATAAAATAGAATTAGGCATTGGAAACTAAATAGCAAATGAAGAAGTTTCTTTACTTTGAAATGGTAAGGTGATAAAGAATCTCCATCTTGGAAAGTCTTTTTTAAAACAGTTTAAAAAGCAACACATTTTGATAAATATATGTCAAATGAATTATTATGTCAAATTCCAACCCTGTAAGCTCTAGCCTGCTATTACTGACCTGCTCAAGTGTCACAACCTATTTCATGACAACTTTCAAGGTAACTCATGAAAGACACAGGAAAGTATCTCCTCATGCCTCAACAGTGTTCCATACCTCACTTGCAACTATTTGCACATTTGATTTCAGCCTCAGAAGTTACATGCATGTCAATGTCTATGGACAGCACAGCCTCCTATAGTAATAAAAAGGGGGTGGGGTCATAATAGAACACTTTAATAACAGAAGGCTTATACATTAAAAAAGTTTGGAGTTTAAACATAAAAGTATAAAACCACTGTTCTGTTAAAGCAATCCTCAGTCTTATGAGTTTATAATATAAGTGCACCAATGATTTTCTGGCAACTGATAGTCTGATACCTTTTCAAATATGGACAAAAATCACAAAAAGTATTTGAATTTAATGTGTTTGTCAAAACTAATTCACTGGGTAAGCACAGGTAGGGTTGTGTGCAACATAAGTTTAATAAAATGGTGTGGAGTAAATAAGTACCCACCCCTGGTGACTATATGGACTATTCCATAACTATAAAGAGCTCCAGGTAAGAGAAAAAGAAGCTGGCTGGAGCCAGTCTTTAGACTAATACAGGTGTCATGGCAAGTAGCCAAAGCATTACTTATAAGTGCCTACAAAGCATGTTATAACAGTGGCAACAAGGGATTCGAAACTCAGGCAATTTATAACTGTTGTAATAAGGATTCAGGAACTCATAATAGTTGTAATTCATACTGAGTGAACAAGTACAGAAAAAAAAAATACTTGTTGCCTTGGAAACAAGGATACAAGTAATGACAAGAATTTTAACCATGTTGGTTACAAAAATTCTTGTGCAGAAGAAAATTTTTACTCTTGGGTGTAGAAAAAAAATACATTCTTGCAAATATGGAGCAAATTTTGGCTTTGATAGTTGAAATTCAACAATAACAACATCAACAGTTGCTAGAACTGCAAAAATAGCAACAGGAGTTGTTGGATATAATTCTGAAGAAAACATAATTCTTCAATATCTTATGCCAAATGCTGCCCAAAAAGCATATTGGAATTTATATACAATTCTGTTGAGGAAGAGACCTTTTCTGCATATTTTCATAGATATGAACAAATATTCAGTCAGGAATGCAGTGGATGGGAAGATGAGAGAAAAACGAGATTGTTGTTGAGGAAAATAACTCCAATGGATTATGAAAAATACTGCAACTACATATTACTGAGAAAAAAAAGAAAAAGAAAAAAAATAAAAACAGATGAGATCAAGTTTGAAGACATGGTACACATTCTGACAATCTTTAGTGACACAAATTACCTGTTTAATCCTCGTTGGAGGTGCATGAATCTAACCAAAAAACAGGACAAAGATTTTGTAACATATGCTGGTATAGTCAATAAAGAATGTGAAAGGTTTAGAATAAAGGAAATGACTCCAGATATGTTCAAAGGGTTAATTTTTGTTCAAGGTTTAACAGCTAAAAATATGCTAAAATACGAGTGAAAATTTTAAAAATTAAACAAAACAAGTCATATTACAATACAAGAAATAGTGGACAATTGCCAGACAATTCTAAGTCTGAAACACAATGCTGAAGAAATTCAGAAAAAAAAAAAAAAAAAAAAAAAAAAAAAAAAAAAATACATTAACAATTTAACATACTTTAACTTTTACTACTCCTTGTGGAGTTCTGAGGTGCAATAAGAAGCAAAAGGGTTTCATTTTGTCAAAAGTGACATGCTTCCTCGTGTTTACATACAAGAAAACACAAGCATTTGTTTGGTCTTTCTTTCACCAGACTAGCAATTTGTCTCAATGACAAATAAAGCTATTATTTTGTTGTATATAGACAAAATAATTCACCTTCAGAAAGGCTATCAGGTACACCCATGAGGCCAGTAGCTTCCATAAAATTAGTCAGCCATGGATGATAGTAGTTGCTCAGTATCTAGTGGTCAACATCACTTTCCTCCACGTCCCTAGTGTGGTTATCATCTTCAACCACTTCATCATCAATATCCACTTGAGTAAAGCCTTCAAAATCATCAGAGTCTAAATCAAATAACTGAAGTTTAGTTTCGTTCCAAAGCAGTAATAGGTAATTTCCAGCTTAAAATACTGGAAATAACAGTTGACAAGTGTTTATTTATAGCAACTGGCTCAAGAATGCGCCTGCAGCTGCAAAGTGAGAGAATTCTATGGTGACAATTTTTGCCTCCAGTTTGGTAAAGGTTAAAAAACAGAGTGAAAATCTAAGGAGGAATTAAGAAATGTTTTTCAGATGTTCTGTCAAATGGGTCAATGGTTGGTGTTCAAAATTCAAGGCAGATTTTCAAGTAAAAAAAAAAAAGAAAAAAAAAAAAAGTTCAATGCTAGTATTTAAGCTGAAACAGTGTACCATTTGTAGGATTGAAACAAGTCAATGAAGAGTTGGACAGACTCGAAAGAATTGGTGTAATAGAAAAAAAAAATTAACCATTCAAAATAGGTTGCACAATAGGTGTATGTAAAGAAAAAATATAATAAAATTTGTGTTTGCAGATTGACAGGTTTTAAACAGTTTTGAAGAAACACGTTAACTACTCATTACCAAGTCCAGACAAAATTTTTCTGAAGTTA